AACTATTCAACTAACCACATTATCTCAGCCTCTGCACTCTCTGTCCTAACCCTCAGTTCTTCAGCACTCTCCGCCATATCTTATATGTCTCTGTTTGTCAAACTGTTGGTTTTTATTCTCTTCTCTTTTCTTCTTTAAAACTCTCATGTCTTCATTCTCTAAATTGTTTCTATTCCAGCGTGTTGGTTTCATTTAGGCAATAAATCCTGAACCAAAATTCTTTTAAAAATAAATCCTAATCAGCTGCTATGTCATACAAAGTTTGATACATAATAAATAACAGAAATACTTATCTTATTGTTCAAGAGGGATTTGAGGAGGATGTTGGCCAATGGAATAGCCAGATATTTGCCCTTATGTGTCCAAGCGATATACTTAACCGACAGATGACAGACCTTGAATGTCCAACTGTCATCGATATAAGCCACCGTGATTCCTAGAAACGCATTTCAATTCCCCTTGTTAGTCCACACATCATGGATCAGGCTGAGCTTTGAGGGATTTGACTAAGATGAGCAATCCAGAGGAGCAATCAGCCAACTATTTGCTTGATCAAGAGGAAGAAATAAATTCACCTGGAGTGTGTCCAACACCTTACTCTGCAAGTGGCAGTACAGCCGATGTGCCTCGGTGGCCGCCCAGACGCGGGTGTATGGCTTGGCAACATGTCGGAGATATCTGAATGCTATACCTAAAATGACTACATCAACGTTACTTCGAAGCCACGGCAGACGAATGTCGAATAATCCAGAGGACGAGGAGCTGGTTGAAGGTGTTGTTGTCGAAATTGTTGCCGTCCACCATTTTCCGCATTGCGACCTTCTCGGGCTCGTTCTTCTGTGCTTTTTTCTCCTTCGCAGTCATTGGGAGCTTACACCCTGCCGCAATTGCCCTGGCTCGTCCTGGGCACGGTTCTCGGTTCTCGTTACCGTCTCGATGTTTGACGAGGTTTGCACGAGTTCCTACCCCTTTCCGATAAGGGTTATCGCACCATTTACATCTGTAAGACAATGGTTCAGTCTAAAAAAACATGGAAATTCACACGACAATGTCAGTTGTGTAAAAGAAAACAAATAAAATAACATAAAAAAACTTACGTCGCCTTCTTCAAACACAGGGGGGTGAAAATAATCCTCTATCTTGTCAAACTCTGACACCTTTGGTTGCGCCTTGGTCTTGTGAAGCTTGAATCGGCGGTTTGCATCATCTGAATCCTGTGTGAAGTCAATCATGTTTGCCGTCTCGTGCGTTCACGTTCAGAGTCAGATGAGCTTCTGAGTCGGACTCAGATCGGAATCTCCACTGATAGAACGACCTCTTGCTTTTGTGTTCTTGTGCGTCGAG